TTGTAGTCCTGCAGACGCTGAGATTAACTGTTAAATTTAATCTAGTCTGGTTTAATGGTATGGAAGAAAATAATTGTCTTTAACTCAAAATCCTACAAGTTTTTTATTTTTGTCATACAGAGCAAATATTTCTTGAACCTATGAATATGTCCTAAAGTTAAAACGGGCAGGACCCCGGCTTTTTATCTCCTTTTTTAAATTAGGACTTGTATGTCCCAGCACATCTGTTGGTAGACCCCTACCAAATTTGTTGTAGCTTTCTGGTAACGTATCTGATCTTTTAAAATTAATATTTTAGTGTGTATTACATATGCCTGTCTGACTGCTTGAATAGACAGGGAAATAATTTATCCAGTCTTTAATCTGTGCTAAGTGAACTGTTAGCCAGTTTCACTTCAGTTTCCATCTGCTTCTCATATTATCTTGTTGTAAAGTCATAAAGCAGAGTTGGGGAAAAACATTCTTCTTAGATACTGTTTTTTTCAGCAAAGATTAGTGTGGACTGCAAAGATCTTTGTAAACAAAGTGGTCTTTACTGTGCCAACGTTTTAGCTAATTATCAAAGAAACTTTGAAAAGAGCGCTCTGTAACTTAAAAAAGTTTTAAATCAACCATCAAATATCCTAAGTCAGGCACTCAAAACTAATTCTTCATACCTCAAACATAATTTGTATAATTCTGTATCTGAAAGGAATTACAGAAAGACTTGTAATAGGATTTTTATTTTAAAAAATGCATGTCTGTACAGGTTTATAGATAAATTAAGAAGGTTTTTAAAAAACTTTTGTTTTCTCCTGTTCTGTGACTTTACAAACGTCGGGATCTAATCTCTCTTAGTTCTTTGGGTTGTGCTTTCTCGGGTGGGCAAGTTGGGGTAGGAGGACCCAGTGAAATCCAACTCTTGGATCCAGAGCAGATGTGGAGGTGCCAGAGACCAAACTCAGCAGCTTCCCTGAGCTGCTCAGGGCCGGAGATGCTCCCTGCTGAAGAGTCAGTCTTTGGAAGGACTCATTCTTCTCTGGCCTCAGCCAAAAAGCCCTCTTGTCTGTCCCTAAAAATGTGGTCTTTCCATCATAGGCAGATCCTCTGCACATGCCAAATGCCGTAGTGAGCAGGTGAGAACTGGCAAAACTGAAGTGCTCTGTATTCAGACATGGCTGTTCAGCTTTTGTTCAGTTGACAGCCGACCTCTCTCTTGGCAAAGATACATTTTGGCCTTACATACTTGGTTGATTTAGAAAAGGTTCTAACATGCAGGCTTGCTTTAGCAGTTAAAATTGCTCTATGTGGCTGTAATGGCCAAAATGTAATGAGACTTAAAATTCTCCAAACTGTGACCAAAACCCATTTTAGATTTGCCTTGCAACAAAAATGTGAAGTTTTCTTCATGAGAGGTAAAGAAGATATCCAGCCTCAAATCAGTGATGAGCTGTTCAGTGAAGTCTCCCTGAGCTGTAGCCTTGATCTTTGCTCCGTGTGCATCCCCTTAGACAGAGCCTGTGGCACAGAGAGGAGCCTGTGGGGTAGCCTATGTCAGATCTGATGTCACGAACCATGACTGCTGCAGGTGAAAGAGGGTCTGTAGCCAGTTTCCGTGGTAACTGGTAGGCACCTGCAGCTTGTTGACGCAGTAGTGGATCTGTCCTTGTCTGTGCACAGAGCATTCAGTGATGGACATATGTAGCTGTCCTAGAAAAGCCTTGGCAAAGGGTTGATTTGATGGAGGCCAAGCCTCTTTCCCCTTTACAAAGCATTTTCACGTCTGTTGTGTTGAGCTCTGTTCCTCAGTTTATTTGACTTGTATTTGGAAATATTTGGGATAACTTTTATTGTTTGAAACATGACTTTCTTTTGTGTTACAGTTCGCAATGAATTTGCAGAGTGGCCCAAAGTTACCTCTTGTATTGCTGCTGCTTGAGGTTTTGTTTTGATAGCTTGCTGCTTGCAGGAAGAAAGAAGACATATCAGCCCATGAACTTCAAAAGTCATGGAAAGCTGTTTCCTGAAGTTGTAAAGATAGTATCATACACAAGATTATGAAAAGATCAATTCTGTTTTTTCTGTAATGTGCAGTGTATCAGGAAGGTTTGTTTGGATTCTTTAGTGTTGTGATTACCCCTCATAGCTGCTGAAGTATTGAATTACAATAGGTTTGTAATCAGATCCTGTGTGTCTGCTCCTTCTGTGGTGTCTTGCGATGCATCCTGAAACTCTGGTCAACAATGCAGATATTGCCTGAGTGAAGAATGAGTAAGGCTTGTCAGACATGGAAATTAATTCTTGGTTTAAGATATCTGGGACTATTGAGCACTATTTCTGACATTATTCTTCAAGCCAGTAGTTTAAACACTGTTTGTGCTGCTCAACATTGAGACATTTCATTTCATGGAAGTGTCACAGAATCACAGAATAAGCTGAGTTGGAGGGGACCCATCAGGATTATCAAGTCCAACTCCTGGCCCTATGCAGAACACCCCAGTCATACCATGTGCCAGAGACCATTGTTGAAATGCATCCTGAACTCAGGCAGATTTGGTGCTGTGGCCACTTCCCTGGGGAGCCTGTTCCAATGCCCAGCCACCCTCTGGGTGGATATCCTTTCCTGATCTGATAGCCAATCTAAACCCTGACCCAGCTTCATGCCGTTTCCTTGAGTCCTGTCACTGGTTAGGAGAGTGAAGAGATTGGTACTTGCCCCTCTGTGAGCAAGACAAAGCACAATTAAAAATAAAAAAACGTTCTCCAGACTCCTAGAAGGTTTCTGGCAAGTGTCTATAACTAAACCTGTCTTGCAGTCCTTCCATCGCTGCCAAACAGAAGAGATGGCAAATCAAGTTTTGTGTGTTCATATAAGGATGCCTAATAAGCTTTAACCTTCTTTCTTCCTCTTTGTTGTTAAGCATCAGTAGTGTTAAAGCTGAACAGCTGGAAGCAGTTTTATCACTTTGCAACAGTGCCTGAGCAACCATGTACCACAGGCAGGACCTTCTGAAGCCAGGGAATGCTGGCAATTGCAATTCAGGCTTTTTTTGTTCACTGGGACATCACGCCTTTAACCAATCAAGACTGGTGAGCTAACAAGTGAGAGGGACCTCCTGTTGTCTTCAGTGGTATTTTACTTCACAGCTTCCAGAAGAAATGATTACTACTACAAAAAAAACACCTCAACCCAAAACCTCAACACAGCACTTAAAGAAGGGCCTGTAGAGACCATAAATCAAACTGGTCACTAGACAGACCATAAGCTTTCAAAAGCTTTGGATGTTTTTCCCAGAAAAAAAAACAAAGGTCATTTTTAGAAATGTACTAATAGGCATGATTTTTCTGATATGCTGATGTAGGAACAATCAGTATAAACAGTCCAGGAAAGAACAGAAGAAATGTCAGATTCACCTTTGAAAACCAAAGAAATATTCTGATAACCTAATAACACATTTGCCTTGTTCTGAGCTTAAACTGCTTAGTAAACTTGAGCTGTCCAGGCGTTTCCTCAAAGTTGTGCTTGTGCATTTGGATGACTTTAAGTCTAAAGCACATAGATCTTAGAAACTGGGGGTGGTTGTTAATAGATACCTTTGAGCACAGGTTACAGTGTCTTCCCAGCTGGTAATTAATTGGTTAATTTAATCCCATTTTCTGCACGCTTCCATCTGTTTTTCATGTAGGATGTGGTGGAGTTGCCAGTGTGTAACGCTGGGTGCTGTGTTGGAGAAGGTTTTTAAGTGTTCATCAATAAACAATATGTTTGAAGTAGGTAAGAAGTCAGTTCTTCACAAAGTTTGGCAGTATAAGGACACTTAAATCTGTCATCAACACTTTCAGCAAACACTACCTTGTCTTGTAAATTATTTTAGTGAAAGCCTAATTAATAATAGCTGTGGACAAGCAGATTAATCTCACCTAGGGATTGCTTGCAGCTGTTGGATCACTTTCTCAAAATCTTGCCAGTAGTGTCCAGGATCCTAGAAGATGGATTTTGTTCCACTGAGGTCCACAATGCCCATTTCAGCAGGCATCTGCTATGAGCAAAGGACAGGAGTAGTGCCTCTATAGGCACAAATCACTGCTTTCTCGTTTATTTCAGTCTTGATCTAACTATAAACTGAGCATAGGTGATTTACCTGTTGTATGATGTAGTACCATTAAATTTGGATGTTACTAGATTAGCTGTAAATTTTGCTAAGTATGTGTGAGAAAATAACAAGTTCTGTATGCCCTACATTTGCTGGATATTAAATCACTATTAGGAAGACCATGGAGGAGGAGAAATGGATGGAATTTTGGAAGAAGATGCAGTAAATGAACTTTGATGTAGTAGAAGAACTTTGTTCTTGTTCTGGCTTCTGGTTGATCTTGGACACATAGCTTTCTTTTTCTGTCTCTTTCTCTCTCTATTTTCCATCTGCTAAATGTAGCTGATTACCTCTTAGAACAGAATAGTTTGAAATCTCCTGATAGAAATAACAGCCAATTCTTATCTAGGGTTATTATTCAGTGAAACATCTGTACAGGGTGCTGGTAACAATGAGGCATAATTTTAGTTACTCCCAGATAAATCCCATGTCCTTAGCCATGACTTTGCTGTTCTGTTTTAGTATCTCACCGGCTTGTTTTTAAGTCTTAAGATCCTTAAAACAGACCAGGTACTTTCACTTCGTTTAGCAACTTTATTGTTAACTGCCAGAGCTGTAGGTGATAGCCCTGAGTAGAGCATGTGAAAAGCAGGCACATGAATCATGGATTTGCTGCAAGAATAACTTCAGAAATGGTATTAGCAACAGCAGTATGTGTATAAATGTGCTACATGATGAGGGGAGAATCCCAGCTAAAGTGTTGCAGAACAAGTGACAAAGACCTTGCAAACAATATGAGAATCTAGGCCAACTATGGTTATATTAATAATAAATCAGATCTGGTCTGCTACCTCCTCCACACAGGGCTTTTTCACCTATTGTCATTCCTCTAACTTCAATTTAGTTTGTGTTGTTTTTTTTCCCCAGCATTTACCAAGTGCTGTCAAGAAACTGGTATTCTGATGGTGGTGAAGTGTCGGCAGGAGAACACAGCACTGAAGGATTGTCTGGTTGGCTAGTAAGTCCCTCATGAGTTTTTGCTGGGCTTTTGTGCATGGCCTGAACTAATCGAGAAATGTTAAGTATTCTGAAAAGAGCTGTGCAGGGTTAGGGACTTGGATGTATTTTCTGAAAATGGTATTTTTGCTTTATTAAGACCATGCTGGTCAGGGCCCTAACTGACAAGATTTTATTTACCATATGAATATAAAGCTACAGAGACTCTCTTCTTGATTCACCTGGGGACAGATTTCAGCCCAGAGGCTCTGTAGCCCTTTATTTGCTCTGGTACATCACAGATGTGGGGATCAGGGCTCACCATGAAGCTTCTATTAGTGAGACAGAGTAAGTTGGTTTTCATTTTGCTTCTGTTTTTTAAGATCTAGTCTGTCTTGCAAGTATCCTGCTGCTGTGCAGTAGCAGGAGCAATGGGAAATTGTTACATATGAGAGGTCAACTCAATGCCATGGTGGGTTGGAACATCTTTTTTGGAAGTCCTAATTTAACCCCAGAGCCATTAGGCTGAAGTGTTAGATTCTTGAATTTCCCAGGCTGAGAATTTTTTGAGTTGGAGGGAGAAAAAAGAGATGGTTTGATTTTTAGTGTGTGTCCTGCTCTCTTAAACCAGCGATTTAGATTAAAAATAAATGCCTTTGAACTAGTGACAGTTATTCTCAAGTATTTAGGAACTGATGAAAAAAATGTGCAGCCAGGCAAGAATTTAGGCGTAACTGCAGTCAGAACCCTCTGGAGTTATTCAGTTTTATTTCTCTATTCCTTCACCTTTAAAAAAAAAATTAAACAAATTGCTTCTGACAAAAAAAAAAGGTTTATAGTGTTGAATAGTTATACATCAAAAAATTGTAAGATAATTTAATGTAATGATCCAGGGCCTCCATATCTACTGTTAAAGACATACACTTGAACCTCTTCCCAGTAGTTACTTGGGTGCAGTAAAAAAATAAGTAAACTCCAGCAGCTTCCCATGCTGAGGAGGGTAACTGCAAATGAATTCTTCAGCTGAATTTAAATACCAAATGTCTTTTCCCTTTTTCTGCCTTTCTTCTTGGTGGCTTCACTGCAGAGGCTTGAAAAGGACTGTGCTTCAAAAGAAAACAGTATCATGACAGATATCTTTTTATAAAGTACCTAAATGTTATTTTACTATTAAAGGCAGACAAGTTTTCTTTGGGAAGATCAGTTATGAGTGGTACTTGTGCAATATCTGTTCAATATTCTAAGATGAAAAACTATGTATTTTTCTGTCTTGTAGCTATTCTGATCCATCATTCTACGAAGAATGCAAAGCAGAATATTTGAAGCAAAGAGAAGAATACAGAGCAACTGGAATTAAGAAAAAAAGACAGAAGTTTACTCCAAATGTGTGATTAAAACTTAAAATGAACTTTTTTTATATGCAATTTAGATTTCACTTGATTTAAACAGACTTAAATTGTCTGTACCACTCTGTGTGGAGTTTAACTGAAATATACAAAATGAGATGAATGGAGAATAAAATAATGTTTGAAATTAAGAGTCAATTTAAAAAATGTTCATAATTAAAGATCTAGAGCATGCTGTGAGAGGTTGCAAGAGAGGTTGCAAAGGTGTGTTCCTCTATCTGGGCTTGAGATTTTGATACCAGTATACGATTTTTACGATTCCAGAATGTCCATTTGGAATTTAAAGCCTATACCTAGCTATGTGAGCCAGTCTACATAAAAACTTAAGGGTGAATAATTTAAGATGTATTAACTGATCACAGATTGGGTATAAACTGAAGTTGGCTTGTTAGTCATCACCTGAAGCTGACTGTATGGAGATGCACTGACTAGAATAGAAGAGTGGCAAATGCAGAAGAGCTACACAGACCAATGTGAATTACCCTTTTCATCAAAATGTTGTCAGATGAGAGCCTGGTAGTACTTGGGCCTGCACTATAACTCATTTTTGTGTACACTGTGACTTGCTTTTAAGCCTACACTGGGATGGAAGCCTTGCGCTTGTGCATGGCCCAGACCGACCGTTTCAGCTCTAGAGGAGAAAGTAATTCATCCACACCTTCCTTGAGAACAGGGAAGAAGCTGCCATGCTTCAGGAGTGAGTGAGTGACCACACTTGCAAAATTATTCCAGGTAGAGGTGAGTAAACAACTAAAGGAATGGAAGATGCAGCACATCCCTAACTTTAAAAGAGCATACAAATGATCTTTCATGTACTGATACTTGAAGCCGCTTAATTGTAGAATTCTCAAATGCTTAAATTGCTTCACTAGAGATAGTTTCTAAAACTCTATATTACTGTCTCGGAGTATCATCCAAGCATTCTGAAATAAAATTAAATTCTTTAAAAGCAAGGGAAGGCTGCACTTAAACTTGGTAACTTTAATGCTCTGACTAAAAAAGAAAAAGAAGTAATTTTCTGAGTAAGGAGTAGGATTTAATACTGGTCCATTAAAAGGCAACATTTTACTTGTTTATTTTAATACTGTTTCACCACAAACAGTATTCAGCTATTCAAGGAGGAAACTGACTTACACGTGTATAAGGACTTAACGCTGCAGGTTAGTAAGTGCCTTTAATTCTGTGCCTTTTACTGGAATCATCATTAATAATGTTGCTTCAGCAGATTGGGTGGAGGACTGGACTTGTGAGTGACAAACTGAAAAGATGTGTAGCATTCTGCCTTGTTAGGCAAACTTAAGTGGCACTCGGCTCTAAAGCTAACCACCTTGAAATAGCTTATGTGGAACAGTGTCTTACACATGGTCTTGGCTTCTTAGCATTTTGGAAAACAAAAATATTTGTAATTAGCTGTTTTGCTGTATGTATTTTAAAAAGGAGGAAATTTAAGGTAGATGGTGACATGTGTTTTTAATGACAGTGACTGTTCTTTTGTCCCACTATGAAAATCTACTGTATTTTCAACCTCTGGAAAGCCAGCCTGGGTGTTTGAAAGTGTTGGCAAAAGCCCTTTGCTAGAAGATTGGGGTGGGAGTGAGCGTTCTCTTAGGGGCAGTGCTGGGTGCTGCCGGTGGTGTGTGCCTGCACCGAGAGCTCACGTGGGTCATACTCAGCTATGACTCAGGTCTGAGTCAGACAACAGCACCAGCAATGGAGCTCTCCTTTTCTGGCTCAGCAGAAATTGTGTGCAGCAGGTGTGGGGAACCCCCAGTGCAGTGACAAGGACTGCAGGAAAGGAATGGATGTGTGGAATGGAACAAAGCTCAGGTGAACCTGCAGGTATTGCTCCCCATCCTTCGATACAGGCTGTATGTGAACAGCAGCACTGATGTCACACCTGAAATTCCATGTATTGAATGGTGCTGTCAGTTATTTGTTTCTGTTTTCCTACATCTGGATTATTTGAGCTCCTCTGTTTACTCTGGTATGCACTTAGAGCAGGAATTGACCCTTGGATCATGCAGCAGCTTCCTCTATAATACACCTCTGTGTATTAATGTGATGTTCCCTAGCTTTGAGTTCTTGGTTTCACACTTTTCATTTTCCTAGAATCTTGTGCAGATCCTATACTTGAATTGCATTTACATCATTTATTTAAAGTTTAAATGAAAGAATGAGTACTGTGACATGACAAACTCATACCACTCCATTACTTTCGGTTTTGGTTTTGTGTCAGCTGTAAATTCTCCTTCCTACTCAGTTAACTGGAGACAGCCCTGGATTCTAAACAGTGTAAGGAAACACAGCAGGCATCCAAGACAGCCTCATTTTTTGCTGCACTCTCTGCCTGTATTAAAGGTCTCTTCAAACTCCTGAGGGGAGCCCCGTAGAAATGTAAGATCTGAGAGGAAAGAGGGAGAAGGTGTCATATACTTATTTAAAAGTTTGCATTTAGAGAGCAAAACCCAAACTCGGAGGGAAGATGAGGGGCAATTTGTAATGCACAGGGTTGTCAGAGTAGAACAGCCACTGCCGTCTGAAACATCACCCAGAAATTAACCTGCAAGCCAGAAACCCATTCTGCTCTCCACATTTAGTACAGCCATACTCCTCCTCAAGTAATTTCTGCAAGTAATTCCTCCATCCTGTTACTCTGCTGATCAAAAAATGGTCAAATAAACTTGCAAATGAAGGTATTCCACCTAGTTAAAAATTGGTTCATTAACAGTAATCACCTGGGTGTTTCTTGCATGCTTCTCCCTAGGTCAAACAGCCATACTCAAATATGATTATCTTACCACTTTAATTACTGTACCTTAATGTTTGACTTGCTCTCTTCCATCTTAAAATACAATTAAATTAATTTTGCTGGACAGTTACGGTACAGGGTGGGGTTTTTTAATGGTTCAACTGCAACTCAGTTAAAATTAATGGTTTTGCTTTACTGCTGGTCATCAAAAATAAAATGCTTTCATCAACTGCCCTATGTTCATATAATTGCAAGTAGTAATACCACTCTCCCTAAAGAAAGGGTCAAAAAGCCTGACTCCTCAAAGCCTTAAAAAATAATTAAAAATAATCAAGCCCCCACGTGGCCTTTTTTATATTCGAACAAGGGAAATACCTTACACCTCTACAACCAGTGTCTTTCACAGGGCCCGTCTGGAGATCAGAAGATAATACAGGTGTCAGTCAGATACCAGAGTTCTTCACTCTTCCTTTACAGCATCGTTAAAGCTACAGGTGTCTCAGAACAGACGTGCCAAAGTCTGCTGCAAGTTAATTTTGGAAGAAAATTCAATCTGCTTTATCCCACCAGTATAGTTCATGTGATACTTACATGTGCCTGTGTTTCATTACTTGGAATGGGTATTGTTTTACTGCAACTCCACCATATGTCTCGTGCTGCTCTTGTCTTTTTCCAGCTGTAAAAATTGGACAGTGCATCACAGCTAATTTGGGAGTTTTCTTTCTTCAATATGGCTAGTTCACATGTGAAGAAAACTGATCAGCTGTATACAACAAAACTGGCAGGAAAACTTATAACTATCAGATTTTAAAAATACTTAAAATTAACCAAACAGTGCAAGTTTACATGTAAGTTATTAGAAGGTTCATCCAACTCACCAAATACCCAAATACATATTCATCAGGTTGCCATTTGCTCATTTAAATGTGCAAAGCAACAACCTCCTGCTGCCCCAAAAGCTGGCTTTCATTTCTGTTAAATTAATGCCTTCTTAAATTAAAAATTGTCAAATTGGTGGGTTGGGGGAGGTTTTAAAATGTTCAAAGTTTGCATTCAAATTAAAATTTTCTTGGGGTCATTTAACAAAATTATTTTTGAACTTCAGTCCTTAATACACGTAATTTTAGTTTTATGTAACACATGCACACTAACACCAGGACCCTGTTACTACAGCTACTTCTCCATGCAATTTGCTGTCACTGATGAAAAGATTTCACTTCTGAAAATGGAAAAAGCACTGTAAGCCACTAGTGGCGTGGATTTAAATGACTTTTCCATCTCCAGTCAAAATCTGATTGTAACCTTTGGACCAACAGATGCTTCACAAGCCAGCAAGCTCCCAAGTGACTCCAAATCTGGGGACTTCCTTTCAAATGTTACAGCTTGGACATGGCAATGAGTGATTGGATTGGAAATGCTGCCTGCAGCAAGCTCTCTGGCATCAGTCTCTCTTCTCCCTAGTTAGCAGCAGTGCTCCTGAAGTCCCTCTTAGCAAACATTGCTGCTCCCTTCTCCAGCATGGGAAGGAGCGCAGAATATAAGCCAAGGGTCAAATGCCAAACCTGGAAATTCTCAGGCTCTGCACAGAAAATATTAATTTTAATTTCACACAGGACAAGGCAGGCAGATTGGGAACCTGTAGTCAAAGCACCATAGCTTTAGGTAACTAAATCCTTCAGGTTTCAACATCCAGGAGGATACTTCTCCCAGAATATGCTACAGCAGATGGCTGGTTTTTTTCCTTGAGTTAAAGTAATGAACCTCAAGTCTAATTGTTTTTATTTGGAGTAACATTTATACACAATAAAGGAATTAAAACTTCAGTAAAAAATTTTGTGCCAAATACGGAAAGGAGATTTGTTAGTAAAACCAATTTCAAACAAAAATAAATTTATTTAATATCTTACACAGTAGAATTCCTTCATTGCACAAATCATGTTAATTCCTGTTGAATGTTACATTCCTTAATAAAAAAACCTCTGAAATGTTGAGGTGAGGAACCCCAAAAGTAAGCTACATTAGAACTAGGTACCATATAGCTTATGCAGCCACATGAGAAATACTTTCTTTGTTATTACATAGGTAGTTGGTTCTATCAGCTAAAGCCTAGTGACTTGGATTTGTTTTATGCATATTGGATTTTGTTCTATTACTTTCCAAGAGATTGTACTCCCCTGAGTCAGCTGTGTTCATTGGTCAGAATAAATTCCAGCATCTGACACCATTTCCATTAATCACAGACAAGCCAGTATACGTGAGCAAGATAATAGAAAGATAAAAACAATATCTGGTGAATAGGAAACATTGTTTATGTATGCTCTTTGTACTACAAGAAAAGGTATCTGGAAGGCATTTTTTTGCCTTTGATAGACAAAGTGAAAGATGGGCTCTGTCTGAAGTACTTACTGTGCAGGAGAGTGTCTGGAACCACACAGGTCACA